GTTAATGTTTCGTTGAAACGAAGTTACGGAAAATTAATTAACACACGGAGACGTAACAATACTTTAGTAGACATTTTATACAACATATTAAAATCTTATCAAAGTTTTAAAAAGGTCAAACGTTAGGTCGTAGAATAATATTAGAGGATTATTTATTGATAATATTAAGTGCAGTAAGGTTTAGCCCTAACTGAACTAAAGTTACAGTGTTAATTTATCTCTTTATCGAATATAGGCCGTTCTTAATAAAGTCTTAACTAATGTTAGGACTAAAACAAGTGCATTTATAGCTTTCAGTGTCTGCGATTAGAATTCTTTTGTATTACTTCAGAAATCCTGTATTCAAAGAAGTACTGTTGCAATAAAGATACTAATTTGGTCGCAAATGTTTTGCGGGTCCCTGCTAATTACAAAATAATTATAAACACGAGTGACTGTAGATGTGAAAAACAACTTAAATATATTTTCATTGCTACACTATTTCCTAATAATAATAAAATAGTTAGAGCAAATTTTAGCAAAATAGAGAGTGTTACTGCCACCGTGCCCAATTTTGAACTATTGACCAGAGGGAAGGCGACCAGTCAGCAGCACCCAAACACCCCCCATCCATGCTAAATGATTGACTGTCACCCCAATAACGCACCCACAGCTTAAAATGCGAGTAATATTTTGTGTTATTGCACATATTCGAATCAAGCTCGCCAGATCTGAAATACAGAGACTTACCGCAGAACCAATCAGTGCCCATGTTGCTTCAAATAGGTCTATTATGTTTTGGTGATTGTAAGTTATATTTGAACTCATAATACTTACATGTGAGGATTTATGGTACATATATTTGTACTAAACAGTCTTGACGAAAAGTTTAAGTGCCCATTAGCCTAAGTATGCGAATGTAATTTATTGTAAATTTTTTCTGTGTGTGATTGATTTTGCACCAATCGCATATTTCATTGTGATTACTTTCAATTATATTATTTTTCTCAATTTATAATAATAACTATTATTATTTATGATGTAAATATGTGTTCTTGTGAATTTTAACAGTTATGAGTCAATGTATAACAAAGGTTATATCTTTAATACATTAACTCTTCTACATTTGTGGAAAATACAATTGAGATTGGTACGATGTTTATTTATCATCTTTTAAAACATTAAACTGTAGTTAAAATACGTCGTTATCAAAGGGGAAAATAGCAATTTTTTTTCGTTTTTGTTTAAATCCACATCCAGTAGGTGTCTGTACGAAAAATGGCGGGGAACAAGCGTGGTCGAGGAAAGAAACACGAAGAAACAGGATCTGGGATACCTTGCAAGTACGGAAATTCTTGCTATCAGAAAAATCCAGAACATTTCAAGAAATTTTCTCATCCTAAACCAACCGACGAAACTATTCAACCAGTGAGTATTTTGATAAGTTAATGAAGTCATGAAAAAATAAGATGATCATTTGTAAATTATATAATGGCTCAAAAATTGAAACTGATCTGTTTTAACTATTGAAACTTTGGAAAAAAAAAGAGAGGGCCTTTACGGCTATCAGTTCAACCACATATGCGTATATGCATGCATGGTAATAGATGTAACGATGCTGTTTACTTAGTTACCGTGGGTGTTAGTTTGCTGTAGCCACAATGCAATAGTATTACTATTAGTAATATATGTTCCAGTTTAAATATATTTTGATTAATAAACATCTCAATGTGTATAAACTATGTACTCGTCATCAACTTAATTATCAAGACTAAGCTAACAAGAAAGATGGCATTCAGTTTAATTAGATCATCCTTTTGCCCACTGAACACCCTGACTCTCCTAAACCTTTTGGGGGACTATGCCTATGTAGTTTTACAACTAGTACTACTGGGGCTGTTAAGTATATCAGCCCTACTCATCGAGCTAATTAATACCTGTGTAAACCTAATATAACGTTCAGTATATTTAAGCAATACTATTACTAGGCAAGTATCTCTTAATACTAATAGTCCAGTGTCTCTCAAATTTTAGACTTGGTACTTTTTCAGGTATCACCAAATCTTTTTTTTCCACAGTACCACTGTTTCACACAAGAGATATATTCTTCCCTAATTTCCTTACCTCTAATGTATTAATTCACATTTCTGAATTTTGGAGCTCAGCTTTCTCATTTATACTTACTATTTAACACTGTTCAACTGTTTTCGAGTAAAGAAACATTTCTGAGAGAATCGCCCCTTTCTAACATTAGAATTATCAATGTTTATTGTAATTTTGCTGAAAATTAGCTGTTAATTGCTTCATTGTCACATGTGTAAGTACACGACTCTCCTATTACCAGGATTATTTTTAGATACACAATACAAAACGAGAAGACACATTTTTTGTTATTTCCTTACTCATCCGAGTGTTCAAACTTGTAAACTTTAGGTTGTTTGAAGGAAAATACCATTTCTTCATGGTGATACACAATTCAAAACTTGTCCCTTATATGATTTCATAGCAGCGCTGTAGAGGCACTAACATAACTATCGTGCAAGAGACCACAACAAGGAGGCACAATGAAAGCTAAAAACAGTATAGCAAATAATTTTTATATCTGGGTTATAAATATTTGCAGAGAGGCCCAAAAATGATAGTTATGCCACTGTTTGGGGGTGGGTGGGTATATTTACCGATAGCAGTGAGTTGGGGGGGGGTCTCAAAACAAATCCCACTAGTCACTTTATCCATTATTTATGTACCTTATAGATTTTTCAATAATACACTGAGAATGTACCTTGAAGTACCATATTAAAGAAACTTTTATAGTAGAAACCATCTTTTCAGATATCCTCTTAAAAAAAAAGAAAAAATAGAAATGAAAAATTAAGAAACAAAATTAAATTTTTAAGACAGACAAATAGTTTTTTTTTATGTCATGCATTTGATTCTAGTATTCAACTAAAACGTTTTGTATTTGACTTCACCAAAACCCTCGGTACTAATAGAAGTCAAAGTAATATGACTGTAATTTCCCGATTCTTCCCTGAACCTTTTTGTTTTTACAAAAAGTAATTGCATTATGAATCTTCAGAAATTTCTCCAATATTAATTAACTTTTTAATGATAATGATCAAAGCTTCTTTAAAAGTTTTAAGATGAATGTTTTTAGGGTCAGCAGATTTCTAAGTTTCTCCAAAACAACAAAATTATTGACAGGCCTTAAGATGAAAACTATTGTTATCAGCCATATAATTATTGAGTTTGTATTTCAATGTCAAACATAGAAGTAAACTATTGTCATTATATTCTTACTAAACACAAATGTGCAAGTCTTATTTTCTACACTAAATTTTAAAGTTTTTTTTACTTGCTTTGATTTTTTAAGTCTTACTGTGATTAGTAAACACAATATTTTCAGACAGCTTGAGTAATAATTAATTATCTGTACAATCCAGAAAGCTGATGTTGCAAAGAAACGTAAAACTGAACTGTCTGAAGATCCTGATTGTGGTGAGTTTAGTTGGTAGTAAAACATAAAATGATTTAAGTTCTAATATTTTCAGCACTTAAGCATCTGATTTAGGGTTAACTTTTGAACCTGTGATCTCATAATACTCAGTAAATATTACAATAAAGCCCAATCAGTTATAATGGAATAATAATAATTGAAATATTTGCAATTCTTATCTATGTGTAATCACATCTTACGCCCTCTATTGATGAATTTCGAGGACAGTCATTTTTGGCCAAATAGTACTCTACTTTGCATTTACATAATATAATTATATGGTCACATTTTGTATTGGCACTTTTTATAGTTCACAGATTATTTATGTGGTTATTCTGGTGCTGTGATGACTTTTGTTAGCTCTTCTCTAAACTCAAGAAGTAAGGAGAATAATAATAAAAAATGCCTAATTTTTGCATGAACGCTGGATGTAGCTCAAGATTATAGTAGATATAAGTATCATATTTCATTGCTGAAATGTTAACATTTATTAGAAAATATTATACTCTTACATATAATAGTAATTGTACTTTTTATTTATTTTTCAGAAAAGGCTTCTGCAGTAGATAGATTGGAGCAGAAAACTAAAAATAGTACCTCGAGTGAAGTAAAGCCTCCTCCTTCTCCAGATGATGTCCATGAAAATATTAAGGCAAAGTTTCTTGTCACCATGCCAGATGACTTCTTTCATTTTTGGGACTTTTGTAAATCGATGAATGCTGAAAAGCCAGAAGGTAGTTTTTAAAATTTAAAATGGTTTATTTTTTGTGAAATGGTTACTTACAAATTGCTTGCCAGCATTGCACATAAAGCTCCAGTGCTTAAACCATCTTGTTGCGAAGCCAGAATCTTTTTCAATTATACTTGTTTTCACAGAAGTATGTGACACGAAATTATTAAGATTTATTAGCCGGTACATTTAGTTTCTTAACAAATAAATAAAATATTATTATCATCTTCTATATTTGTGTGTGTACAGTATTATGAGCTTTGAATTAACATGTTTCTAAAATTGATAATCACTGTACGTGAATTTGTTAAACTATGAAATATTAAGACTATTTATCATATGTATAATGATTTTTTTTGTAATTCTTTCTCTTAACCGAATGTGCATAGGGTCGGTCCAGTAGACTGACTCCGTATTGGAAAAATAATAGACCTTAATTCCAAATTTACTATGTGTATCTACATGAAATATAACAATTCTTTAATAATATGTATGTGTCTGTTGTACACAAAAAAGTTTCAGTATGACTCAGACTCTGACAAGTGGTGGGTAAGGTAATGCTCATTTGAAGAATAAATATAATTGTGTCCATGAAGTTTACATATTGCATTTGCTTAAACCTGGTCTGGTTTCTCCAAGATACATATCTACAGCTTTTTTCAGTATTCCTGTATATTGTATTTACTTTCCTCTACTACAAATTGTTGCTAAATCCGCAACGTAGGGTAAAATAAATAGACAACTCTGACATTAAATAAAAAAAAACCATTCTGTAAAAGGGCATGAGAAGTGCTCATTGACACCCACCCATAAAAATAGGGTTAAGTAATTATTTCATTGCTAAATAATACCCACTAGAGGAACTCGCATAGTGAGTTTGAAAATTAAAGTAGCTTGGTTTAAAAAGTTTCTTACTAGCTGTAGTTAACTCTTAAGTAGTTTGGTTTAAAAAGTGTCTTACTAGCAGTAGTTAACTCTAAAGTAGTTTGGTTTAAAAAGTGTCTTACTAGCAGTAGTTTGGTTTAAAAAGTGTCTTACTAGCTGTAGTTAACTCTTAAGTAGTTTGGTTTAAAAAGTGTCTTACTAGTGGTAGTTAATACTAAAGTA